ATAGGAATAATTATATAAATCATTATTACATTATTATAATAATTGTTTGGCATCCTAAAACACCATTGATAATGTAATCTAGACTGAGACTCTCATAACTAAAAAGATGTTTGAGCCCTCTTTATTGTCCTGGCTGGTACAAATCAATGCTTTTTCTTTGTTCAACGAGCAGTTCATGGGTTGAAGCTCTTAATTTTGATCTCTCAAAGAGCACCAGATTGATGCATTTAACCTTAAAATGTAAAATAATTTCTTGCGGGGGAGCATGCCCCCGAACCCCCCTAGAGGCACAGAGGTCCACCCAACATAGTTTTACAAATTCCTATGGGAAAGAACGACCATTTAGGAACTTTACTCCAGCATAGTACAACAAAGTTCCTTTTAAGTCAGTAAAACTGTAAATGCCATATTAAAATGTCCTTGGGCAAAATATACATTTGGCCTGCCTAAGAGGGGGCCTACAAGACATTGTGCCCAGGGCCCTCTGAACTCTTAATCCGGCCCTGCGTAACAGGAAGATTTAAGAACATCAAGAGCGTTGAAGTGGCGGTCCACAGTCTAGCTACAGTCTAGAAAGTAAATCTGCAAATGCATCATATTTTTTGCCAGCGATGAAGATCTTTATTAGTTGAACATCTTCGTATGTTACTTCGTAAGCTGTCTGTGAATGAATTATTCCACACGACGATACATTCGATTTCATTCAGGTAAGACATTTTACAACCAAACAGATTATTAAGCCATATAGCACTACTACAAAGTATGACATTACCCTTTTTTGGACATATACATTACTTTATAGTTAAACATTAAATAAGCTATCATCGTCCAGTTTATGAATGTTTGTACACACACAATGTGTGTATTGCGCAGTGGCGTGCGAACTCGACTTAAAAACGAATGCCTTTGCCTGCCTTATTAGACTCAGTTAACCAGTTTAAAGATGCTTTCATAAATATAGCCTACATTTAAATAAATTTTGGAGAACAGACAGAAGAAGATCATTGCATTTGATCGTTGTTTGTGTTGGGCATGACATGACTGCGAGCACATGTGAAGAGTTTTAACACTTTCTAATCTGTCTCAATGGTTCCCACCCCTTACAAATGAATGCAAAACTCCATAGAGTCACTTTATTCCGACATTGTCTAATAATCCAAATGTAGTTGTATAAGTTACTATTATACAAACCAAAGGACAGGCAATGGTTTTCAGGCTACAGATATAATACAGATATACAGAAATAATGTTTGTCTCTTCTGTTTTTGTTGCAAAGATAGCTTATCTAATTATGATAATAATAGTCATTTAAATGAAAAAAAATCTAAATAATATCATGTTGCATATACAGTATATACACTCACCGGCCACTTTATTAGGTACACCTGTCCAACTGCTCGTTAACACTTAATTTCTAAGCAGCCAATCACATGGCGGCAACTCAGTGCATTTAGGCATGTAGACATGGTCAAGACAATCTCCTGCAGTTCAAACCGAGCATCAGTATGGGGAAGAAAGTTGATTTGAGTGACTTTGAACGTGGCATGATTGTTGGTGCCAGAAGGGCTGGTCTGAGTATTTCAGAAACTGCTAATCTACTGGGATTTTCACGCACAACCATCTCTAGGGTTTACAGAGAATGGTCCGAAAAAGAAAAAACATCCAGTGAGCGGCAGTTCTGTGGGCGGAAATGCCTTGTTGATGCCAGAGGTCAGAGGAGAATGGCCAGACTGGTTCGAGCTGATAGAAGGGCAACAGTGACTGAAATAACCACTCGTTACAACCGAGGTATGCAGCAAAGAATTTGTGAAGCCACAACACGCACAACCTTGAGGCGGATGGGCTACAACAGCAGAAGACTCCACCGGGTACCACTCATCTCCACTACAAATAGGAAAAAGAGGCTACAATTTGCAAGAGCTCACCAAAATTGAACAGTTGAAGACTGGAAAAATGTTGCCTGGTCTGATGAGTCTCGATTTCTGTTGAGACATTCAGATGTTAGAGTCAGAATTTGGCGTAAACAGAATGAGAACATGGAACCATCATGCCTTGTTACCACTGTGCAGGCTGGTGGTGGTGGTGTAATGGTGTGGGGGATGTTTTCCTGGCACACTTTAGGCCCCTTAGTGCCAATTGGGCATCGTTTAAATGCCACGGCCTACCTGAGCATTGTTTCTGACCATGTCCATCCCTTTATGGCCACCATGTACCCATCCTCTGATGGCTACTTCCACCATGTCACAAAGCTCTAATCATTTCAAATTGGTTTCTTGAACATGACAATGAGTTCACTGTACTAAAATGGCCTCCACAGTCACCAGATCTCAACCCAATAGAGCATCTTTGGGATGTGGTGGAACGGGAGATTCGCATCATGGATGTGTAGCCGACAAATCTGCGGCAACTGTGTGATGCCATCATGTCAATATGGACCAAACTCCCTGAGGAATGCTTCCAGCACCTTGTTGAATCTATGCCACGAAGAATTGAGGCAGTTCTGAAGGCAAAAGGGGGTCCAACCCGTTACTAGCATGGGGTACCTAATAAAGTGGCCGGTGAGTGTATATATATATATATATATATATGCCTATGTGTTCCAAAGTAACTAGTAACTAACTACTTGGGTAATTTTTTCATTGTATACTTTTTTACTCTTACTCAAGTAACTTTTAAGATTATTACTTTTACTTTTACTTTGAGTAAATATTTCTATAAGTACTTGTACTTTTACTTGAGTACAGTTTTTGGATACTCTACCCACCTCTGGCTTTAAGACACACCATGTGTAAGTTCATAAGTCGACAGCATTGCTGAGTATTTTCTGCTTAAAACTGCAGTGAACCAAAGACAGTCTCAAAAACACGGTTTGAAATCGCTGGTGTTTCTGACGTCACAAACGACCTTGTAACCAATCAGATCAACGTGTGATCGTCAACCAGTGGATCTCTGAGCTGAGTGAGTGAGTGGAGGCGGGGCTCATTTGCATATTCATAGAACCGAGTTTACTAAATGAGGGAAGGGTGTCGAGTTACAGTCAAGATATTTAAAGTCCCCGTGAACCGGAAGTTGCAAACGACTTTTCTCCAGTGTTGTGACGTATTTCCGAGAGAAACGGAATACTAAATGAGGCAAAATGGTGGGCGTGGCTTTTTCCCCAACTAGCACCTGATTGGATCTAGAAAAGTAGGTGTTTTCATTCAGCCTGTCTACTGTCAGTTGGAGGGGCGTGATTACGGATGTTAAGAAGACGCCCAAACCGTCAAACCTACGTCATCAGGCAAGGTCCTCCAATGCAGTATGGCAAGCCGTTTTAGCTTTAATTGTACCCAGCCTTACTCGTCGTAATTACATTTTTACTAGTAACAATTCAATTAGAGAGCTCTACAATTAAATTGTTACTAGTAAGAATTGAATTAGAGAGCTCTCTAATTGTAATTGTTACTAGTCATAATTGGATTAGAGAGCTCTCTAATGGTAATTCTTACTAGTAACAATTCAATTAAAGAGCTCTGTAATTAAAAATGAATGGAAGTCAATGGAGACATATGACTAGTAAGAATTAATTTGTAGAGCTCTCTAATTTAATTCTTACTAGTAAGAATGCAATTGCAGAGCTCTTTAATTCAATTAAAGAGCTCTGCAATTACATTCTTACTAGTAAGAATCGAATTAGAGAGCTCTCTAATTGTAATTGCTACTAGTACGAATTGAATTGTAAAGTTCTCTAATTAAATTCTTACTAGTAAAAATGAAATTACAACAAGTAAGGCTGGGTACAATTTAAGCTAAAACGGCTTGCCATAATGCAGAGGGGAGGGGAAATTTCAGATTTTGATTAAAGATTACGAAGCCAAAAATTTTTTTTGTGTGGATTGACTTGCATGGATGAATTGTTCACCACAAAACGATCAATTTAGGCAAACAAAGTAAGTATGGTCAATTTTGAATTCATGGGGACTTTAAGGCATGAAGAAATTTTTTTCGAGGAAAAAACTTTTAAATATGTAATTTTGGTGATCAACGATGAGTTTTAAGGGATACAATTATTGACTACAGCGAGATTTTAAGAATGTTTAGATATGTGTACATTAGAAAACAAGTAAAAAAATACTGAGGAATAACATCAGTTTTACAGTGCACGATCAATCAGTTCCAAACAAAGAAAAAAAAAGAAATGCAAAACCTGTGCAAAGTGACTAGACAAAAAAGATTGAATCCAATATTTGGTGATAATATAGCATGATGCGAAATTATAACAATTTTTTGACCAGAAAGAGAATATCAGTTTTGTTTTGGCCTGTGTGAGTAAAGTCAGTCGATTTTAGTCGAATAACCATGCATCATGAAGATCATGAAGTGCTGAGGCCCAGCTTAGGACCCCAGTAACATGCCTGATGTAAAGCTGTTCTCGCGATTCTTATTGTAATCAATCACACTTTAATTCATGTAATAATCTTATATTTTTATCTTGATTATTTATAAAGTAAAAGTGAAAGAAATTGCATTTTTTAGGTATGTTTTGCGACATTGTTAATTGTTATTAAGCAATAAGGCATAATATATATATATATATATATATATATATATATATATATATATATATATTTTATTACAAGCAATGCATGTCATAATTAATTAGGCCTAACTATTAAACAGAATTATGCTTGTATCATATTTGTTATCGAAGTTTTTTTTATCGAAAATATAACAAAAAAAAACACCAAGAACGAGAAATGTTTAATTTCTCAATCTATAGCTTCGGTTATACTAGTATATTTAAACATATAAGTTAAAATACATTAATGGTAGTTATAACGTAGTTCAAACGACGTATATAATAAAGTGAGGTTAAAAAGGTTAAATCTCAGCCCGTGTTGTTTCCTGCGGTTACCATGGTGAGATGAGGACCTGACGCATTATTCTGTCTGGCCGCTAGAGGTCGCTGTTTCTCAGTCACCGGGTCCCGCTGTTAAAGCGCTTAATCCCGGGGGGTGTCCGGTCCGGTGAGTCCGTGACACGGACAGGCACTCGCGCTCGGCAGTCGGCACTGCACGGTAACGGACTCCTGCATTCCCAGCCGTGTTCCCGTGGATCCACCGAGGCTCCCGGTGACTGTGTTGTTGTCGTTACCGACGCGCTTGGAAACGGTCGTGGTCGTTACACCGGGATGAATCATGTCTTCGTTTGTGAGCCGGGTTCAGTTTTTAGACGATACCGATCCGTTCAACAGCACCAACTTCCCGGAACCGACCAGACCTCCTCTCTACACCTTCAGAGAAGATATTCCTCTCATCAACCAGATCGCGGGAGTCCACAGACTCCTCAAAGCTCCTCACAAGGTCAGAACACACCGCAAAGTTCATTACTTCACTGAATAGAGTTAGCTAGTGAGGTTTATTTGAACCTCTCTTTATTGCAGGCGCGTCACAGTACTAATATAACGTTATATATAAATTATATATGTGTGTGTGTGTGTGTGTATGTAAATGTGTGTGTAAATGTGTGTGTAATGTGTATAGCTGTACACACACGCTCTCAAAATGCTGGGTTGTTTTAATCCATGTTTGGGTCAAAATGGACAAATCCAACCGTTGGTTGTGATTATTAACCGTTGGTTTAAATGTATTTACATTTCTAAACCCAACGGTTTTGTCTATATTTTATCCAAACATGACATGAGTTGAAACAACCCCGCATTTTTAGAGTATATATATATTACCTATACCCTAACCCTATATATGTATAAGTGTCTAATAACCGTATGGAATAATCTTCAGTGTTGTTTCATTAGTGTCCGACTGTAACGAGGTCATGAACGAGTGTGAAGCGCGACAGGTGCGGCTCTGAGCCGCTTTTAGAGCCGCTCATTCATTCACTGACAGAATGAAATCATATTTTAAAACGGAACTGTTAATTGAAATTTTACACACATTACACAATATAAAATAAAATCTAAAAATATACGTTTTCATTTTTTTTGTATCATATTATATTTGATGCATCAGGGTCATAGTGAGAATATATAGTGAAAATATGCGGTTTGCTGCAGATGCTGATGTTTAAATGATGCTTGGAAATCAATCAATGAGATCTTTATAACAGTATAGCAGATATTCACATAAAATACATATAATTATCAGTATCAATAATGTCTTAGTATGATATTTAAATCGATTTTATGATCAAAGCTCTGTCGTTTTCAAACATAATGCAATGCAACACAATGATTGACAGATGAACAAATAAACCTGATGATCATATTTGATACTCGTGATTTTTATAATAAAAGATGATGATAATCAAGTAAACCTGCTTCAGTCCAGCTGAAATATTACTAACAATACTGAAGTTATTCTTGCGTTTCCTTGGCACTAACAGACTTTTACTTGATAAAAACTAAAAGATTGAATGACTTTGCATGATTGACAGATCAGTGTTTGCAAAATATAGAAACACATATTCATAATGAGAAAGAACATGCAGGAACAAAAGACAATATGAAACCAGATTAAACAAATGTAAATAAAAGGCAGCAAAACTAGCTTAACATCACATGATGTTATTGTTTGTGAATAATATTAAACATAATTATATACTAAGGGTGCTCCGATTGATCGGTCGCCGATCATGATCGGCCGATAATTGCTTTGGGATGTGTGATCGGCGGTCTCTATAAAGGCCGATCCAGAAAAGCCGATCAGATGACGCAAAACTCGCGAGACAATTTTTTTACGCCCTGGTAAAAATGGCTTCACCGGTCTGGCAATTCTACAACAGGGCTCTCAAGTGTCAAGCATTGAGCGTGACAGTCACTTATTTCGGTCTTTTGTCACGCTCTCCCGCCACACATTGTATTTCTCACGCTGAAAAACTATTTGTAATATATTTAATATGCCGCAGCGGCCAAAACTCTGGCCGCGCCGCTCTCACTGTGGAACCGGCATGAATCAAGCGCGTTTCCTCTGGTGTTGTTCGTCGAGCTACACAATAGCCAATCAGAAAATAGCACTATTGTATCTGGGTAAGATTTAACGCAACAACCAATGACAAAAATGTATCCAACACCCCCCCCCCCCCCCCCCCCCCCTTGCGTCCGTCAAATCACTCGTACATATTTTTTTCTCTCATCAAAACTGAATATGTTCATCAGCGGTTACAGTTATGTCAAGCAAGGATACGTTTGTGTTTTATTTTGTGATTACACCGGAATGAATAGAGTCCGCAACGGCGATAGATTGAAGCGCGCGTCCGAGTGAAGACTGCGCGAGGCACAGAGCACTGTATCCATGCAACTGATCGCCGTGGCAACGAGCGCGCAGCTTGAGTTCAAAAACACATTTTAGCGCTAGATTTCTTATTTAATAGCGAACTAAATGAATGATCTGCTAGTTAACTGAAGATGTTTTATTTATTTATATTAGGTACATTGTGGGACAGACTTCACTGGATCTAAAAAAAAATAAATCTAACCATAGTGAAGTGGTGGCTTTCTTAATATGTTTAAAATAATTTTGCAAGGGTTCTTCACACACACACACACACACACACAAAAAAAGGTTTCTCTACCTCTCTCTTCCTCTCTAAATGCCCACAAAATCTGACTAAGCATCCAAGAAAAAAGCAAAGTTATAGATACAGATATGGAAGTTGTTAGTTTTTGTTTTTTTGTTGCTGTGCACTTTACTACCGGTGGTCCTTTAGGTGTATTAGAAAAACAGATGGCTGACTGACTCAAAACATTATTTTGGCTACAGCCTTTTTTGTTGCTGTTTTTAGTTTAAAGTAGTCTAAAGCTAAATTTAAAGACTCAGATGTTCTGTCTTTTATTTATTTTATTTTATATTCTACAGGAAAGTTGTATGTCAAGCCCTAAGTCTAAAGCTAAATTTAAAGACTCAGATGTTCTGTCTTTTATTTATTTTATTTTATATTCTACAGGAAAGTTGTATGTCAAGCCCTAAGCTGCTCCCAATAACCAAGCTGCTATGTTAATACATGTTGCTTGCAAATAAATACACAGGTGTCAATTCATTATGCATTGTCTTCTCTTAAATGTAATACTTAATGTACATTGTTGTTAAATATAGTTTAATAAGTAATGCTACATGATAAAAAGAAGTCTTCAAATAGACCCTGTAATCGGTGATCGGTATCGGTATCGGGTGATACAGCTTCCAGTAATCGGCGATCGGTGATCGGCCCCAAAAATCCTGATCGGAGCACCCCTATTATATACCTTATATTATTATACATATTGGACATTCTGTGTCAGCTGCATCACACGTTTTTATATTAAATTTGTAAATCTGGATTGTAAACACAGTTCCCTTTCGTTGTCACTCCGAGTTCCGTCGGATGACGACGAATGGGGGTTTCGCTTAGAAGCCAATCAACTTCAAGTACTTCAAAACGAGCCAATGGCAAAGAAATGCCATGGGTCTGCGGAATTTGCATAGCGTAACTCCGCCTCACCTCGTGAGTATATAAGGAGAACGCTGGCAGCAAACCGGCATGTTTTCGCTTTGGAGCCAAGTTAATCCTTCGTTCCACAGCCATCTCTGTACTGTCAGTTCTTCAGACGAGCGAGATTCTCTGGTGTTGGTGTGACGGCGATCTCCGGCGAGGACGCGCTTCCTGCTTTTCTGTCCGTGATTCGACAGCGAGTGTGTTTCTCCCCGGGCGCTTCAACACAGTCAGAGTTTCTTTTCTCACAAAAGAGCTTGCACGCGGCACGTCTTTTTAAAGATGCCTCGCCCGTGCACTTCTGGTTGCGGTAGACTCGTTGATGACTCTGATGGGCACGAGTGGTGCATAGTGTGTTTGGGCATTAATCACGCTAGAGCAGCACTCGTGGATGACTCATGTTCTCTCTGTGGGAACATGACCATCGCAGCATTACGATCAAGACTCGGTGATCTCGCAAGAGTGAGGGTCCCCTCATCCACACCCCGATCTACTGACTCTAGAAATAGAGCTAGTACTTCGGCTGGTGGCCAGGGTGATCTGAGGATGACGGTTTGGAACAAAGCGCCGACTATCAGTCCGTGCCCAGCCGCATCCTCTCCAGTGCTGCAACCCGTGAGTGTTCGGGGGATTCCGGCGGGATCATCTTCGGGTGTCCCGCAGGTTTCCTTTGACGCTCCAGAGGATGACGCGATGTCTATCGCAGCATCACAAGGTGGGTCTGAGTCTTCTGGAAGTGAAGACTCATCACAGCTGCCACCTTCGGGTGTGAATACAGTTGTGCTAGAGTCTGATCCAGAGATGACGGCCATGCTGTCTCGAGCCGCCGCGAGCATCGGGTTAGAGTGGAACCCTCCGCCCTGCCCCGAGCGCTCGCGGCTGGATGACTGGTATTTGGGTCAGGCTGCGGACCCCCGTCCGCGTCAGGCCCCGATACCTTTCTTCCCGGACGTGCATGATGAGATCTCGAAGTCCTGGAAGACTCCCATGTCTTCCCGTGACCGCTCGCTGATTTCATCCGCCTTTCCTCCCCTCGATGAGGCCGCTGCCCGTGGGTACACTGGGCTCCCCCCGGTTGAGCGCTCTGTTGCGATGCAACTGTGTCCTCAGGGCGCTTCTTCTCGTGGTGAGCCTAAGCACCCATCCAAAGCCTGTATGTACTCGTCTGCGTTAGTGGCGAAGTCCTACAGAGCTGCGGGGCAGGCAGCCGCCTCTTTGCATGCCATGGCCATTCTGCAGGTCTACCAGGCCCAGATGCTCAGGGACATGCACGAGGGCAGGACAGACCCGGGGCTCTTCAATGAGCTGCGCGCCGCCACCGACCTTGCTCTCCGAGCGACGAAGGTGACCGCACGCTCCCTGGGTCTGGTGATGTCCACAGCCGTGGTCCAGGAGAGACACCTCTGGCTTAATCTTGCTGATGTGGAGGATGCCGAGCGGTCCCGGCTGCTCGACACCCCCATATCGCAAGATGGCCTTTTCGGCGGTGCAGTCGAGGATTTTGCCCAACAGTTCTCGACTGCCCAGAAACAGACTGAGGCTATTAAGCACATTCTGCCCCGACGGCCCGCTGCTGCCTCCACTCAGCCGACCGGGCAGAATACTCAGTCTGTTTCCCGCCGAGGGCGCCCTCCTACGGCTCCCACCCCTCCCGCCCGGCCCAAGCAGCAGCCTTCACCCGGGCCCGGTCGCGGAGGAGGCCGTAGGAAGGCGCCCCAGCCCTCTCCAGTCCCGCCCCCCGCTAAATGCCGGGTCAAGCGGCGCTCCTGAGACGGGCTGCTCAGGGATGATGTACACTTCTCAGGAGGTGGTAGCAGGACCACTCCTTCCCCCGGTGGAGGGCCGGGGGAGAATCTTGAGAGAAGTGACACATTCA